ATCAACTAAATAGCTTAATCGCTCTAGAGCTACATTATCTTTCTCAACAAGGAGCTGGAAACATCATTGTTTCTAAAGGAATTAAAGCCACAGCTGCACTGTTAATAGAGAAACACGGCAAAACGGTGGTAATCATACATACACCACCTCTCTCTCTCTCTCTCTCTCTCTCACACAAACACACACACACTCGCTTGCGCGCACACACACACACGATGCGCAAAACTCCACATTTGAACAGTCAATAGCAAATACTTAAACTAATAACAAAACAGTAGCTGATTCAGAAGCGCCAGATTGTCATAGCAAAGTCAGAATTACCTCCTCTCCTAGGTTCACGAAACGGTCGTCCATAAAAGAGAGAGTGCGTGAGCACAGGGTTGCCAGGTTGACAAAGATAAGTGGCACATTTAGCAGATATTTCTGTATTGCGCAAATGTAAAGCTCTGTTTCGGGGATTACGTCTCTTTATATCAGGCAACCCCGTTGTGTTCCTCTGTGGCCAGATTATTAACAGATGCTCTATTCATTCTTTTTTAGAAACCTCTAGCACCTTTCTACTCAATTTTAAACGTTATAAAATTAAGCGTGGTCCACTGCTGCACACGTGCCACAATATCAATACAGGGCCAGCTGTATCGATACTCGTATCGTCAAATCTCTGTGACGATACATCGTCGTATCGATATTTTGAACACAGCACTAGTTATTACAAGCACTCGATGGTGGTTTAAAGTGAATTTTGAATAAAAATTTACTATTAATCTCATAAATTGTCTTATGTAGCTTGATGCGAATGTTAGCTCTAATGCACCTGCAGAACAAGTGCAATCCTACTTCATGATGCGTTTTGACAAAATAATTCACAAGGTTGCAAGAATTATTTTTTTATTATTATTTTCTTTTGGTAATTGGTGGCTGAATGTATATTAGGTTCAAAGCGATGTGAATTGGTAAGCCATGTAATGCCAGAATAAAGGCCAATAATGGCTGAATAAAAACAAAGGAATAATGAAAAAAGAATGAGGATTATGTCTCGTACCTGGCAGAGGTGTGAAAGGTTTGTCGAATGAGAATAGAAACATGAATGGGGCAGTTTGCTGCAACAGCATGCAGGGGAGCTTACAGGGGGGCAATAAATGGATTTTATTAGCCTTCTCTAAAAACACACATGACATGGTCTTAGAAAATTTTCATAAAATTCACAGTTTTAGAGATATCGTCCTCAAATTTAAAATGAAGCATGAGCACACTTGTGGCTACAGCTTCATTGTGTTTCTAAAACCATTTACCACATTCACATAATTTTTTTTATACATTTAAAATATGTATTCTTTGTTTTTATTAGGGCTAGGC